ATAAATGTTTCCATAGAGTTTTTATATATATTTTATATATATTTTCTATAGACTATTAAAAGTTACAGTTTTTAAAATGACTGTGTTTAGAATATTATACAGTTCTACAGAATATACTATAAATAAATAAAATTTATATTGAAATTTCATATATGTTATACTCTATATATATTTTATATGTTCCTATAGAGATAATCCCTATAAAATTGTTATAATACATTTAAAAAAAATACAGGTAAGGACTATAATTTTTTATAGAATAAATATAGAAATTTTATAGATTTATTATAGAGCAGGGGCGGATTTAGGGGGGGCCATCCATTATATCTAAGCTGACCCTTACTCTAGCAAGAAGGGGAATTTCAATGCCGGGTCACATGGTGGGGCCAGTTATATTAAGACTGGGGTCTATTGAGTACAATGAGTTCCTATGTGTAGCTCCAATAAGTGATGAGATGCTTTTGGGTGAGGATTTTCTCACTCTGAATGAGGCAATCATTGATTTTGGACAGTTATTACTGAGGTTGGGTGAAAGTACCATATCCCTCAGGAGGGACTCTATATCTCCATCAAGGGTAGCCAGAGTTATTGTGACAAAGCGTAGGGTAAATATTCCCCCAGTCGACTATCTACGTAAAACGTGTAAATTAGAAATTAACGGGTTACCTTTGCCAGATTTCTTTGTAGAATCTGAGGTTACACCCAAATGAGTGATTATTGCTATAGTATATCGTAGCGGAAAGCTATCGTCCATCTGTATCACTGAATACTTCAGATTACTACTTGACCATGAATCGGGGCCAGAGTATTGGCAAAGCATGAAGTCGATGCAAACCTGCCAAGTGCTATTCCAAACACCACGGTAGACACCAGGGACCATGGGATTAATTACGAATCCCATGATCTGTCTATTTATCTACCTTGTTTGGGGTCAGTTGGAATTATGTAAGAACATGTTAATCATCTCTGGTCAATCCACGCTAATCGGATGGTTCGGATACCAGGAGGCAATGGGTGGAACGGTGTCTATCCCTACATTAGCCCCAACGTGACATTGGGGGTGGTCTGATGTTTCCTTGGGATCCGGGTGGCTAGATTACTATCCGAGTCCGGACCACCATTGATGACGAACTTTGTAGAGAAATGTGGCCAGTAAGTTTTTTTTTCTTCCAGAGGGTTTGAGGAATTATGACTATGCCATGTTTTTCTCTTTATTTTGATTCCCAGATCTAATGTCTTTGGTCGCAGCTGAAGCGGGCCAGGGTGACCGTCCGGTAGTGGTAAACCCATATCTTTGCAGGGGGGAAGTAGTCCGGCCCTGGGCTGGTGACTTTGGACCAAGACCTTTTAGGTGGGCCTTCCCACTCCTTGCAAAATAGGAAGTC